CAACTCTATGATCGAAAAGTGAAAGAATAGGAAATAATTAATTAAAGAAAAAAATTTATAAACAAGTAATAGTGCGATGGTTAGAGCTAACACTATGGTTAGAAAAACAAGAAGTAATAAAAAAGATACAATCTGTAAATGTTGTGGACATGAATGCTCAACACCCCAAAAACTTCGTGAGCATCTTAAGTGAAAAAATCCATGCAAACTATTACAAAAGCAGAAGGAAGTAGCTTCTATTCAAGCACCAATTCAAGTGTCTATTCAAAAAGCTATTCAACAGGATATCCAAACTTCTGAAATCAAAGCACAGGTAGAAAGCTCTAGTGTAAATAGGAGCAATAAGAAGAAGCCACATGTGGTAACCCCAACTCCAATTCCTGAGCTAGAATCTGAAAAAGAAGCTCTAGTACTTGGTGATGACTATATCACAGAAATTAAGGGTACAAAAGGTTAGAGAAGGATTTAGAGTTTAGGGAACAAGAAGAATTAGGAATAGCGGTTAAAAGAAGAGCTGTAACCGTATATCGTGCAAAAGTTCCCAAATCCCATCCAGATAATAGAAGCGATATACGAAAAATGTTAGAAAGCCAAAGAAAACAGTTTAAAGAAATACTTGAAAAGGAATTCGATAAGCGTGGACAATTTAAGTTCGCTCTATGTTCTCTTACTAAATTTCTTATAGATGATAAACCTGGGAAAGAAAAACAGGAAAAAAAGAATTCACGAACTGACTGGCTTAGAAATAAGCAAATTATAGTTTATAATAGAGCTGAAATAGATGACTACTTAAGCAATGCTTTTGAAGAAATCCTATATCAAGTAGAAGAAAGAGGAGGAAAAACTAATGCTTAAGTATCCATTGAGGGGGTAATTGCACATCTTTTACAATTTGTAGTTCTTCTCTTACAAATGAGCGTCTAGGGCCTTTGTAAAGCTTGTAGAGAATAGGCTGATTTTCTTTTATCAAATAAGAATCAATTGTAAAGACTTCAGGAGACCAATTGCAATCAGTTGCCCTTCTTCTGCCACCTTCTAATTCGTCAAGTTCTAAAAGGTGACGAACTTCCGTATAACTAGGTAAAAGAGGTTCATTATAACCAACTGGCCTCTTATGCTTTACTGAAGATCTAGCTATTATTTTTTTTCTTTTTAATGCTCTTTTTACAGCTTTATTGGGAGACATTCCTATTAACTGAGTAGGAGTGTTATTGTAAATATCATCATTTATATGAAGACTCTTAAACCATGCTCTGGATCTATCAGTTAAAGGCAAATGAAAATCTTCAGCATCTTGCCAAAAATAAGCATGTTTTTCAAATTCTTGATGGTCACGTTTAGCAATAGCTACACCTCGTTTAGAGTTAGTATACTGAATTCTTACATTATAACTGAGTAATAAATCTTTACATTTACCCATATATTCAGTACCTCTATCTACAATAAAATCTTCAGGCGGATTAAGAGGATCATTAGGATCATCATAAATTTTTTGAATATTCTTAGCCATTTGTGCAGAAGATTTATCAGTCAATGCAAAACTACGACGATACCTAGTTGCAACATCTTTAATAACACCCCTATACTTGTAAATCTGATTACCTACTTTATCATGAGGCATAGGGGTAGTA